GGGGACGTCCTTTCTGGACCATCTTCCCTGGCCCTGCTCCATTCCCAGTGCAGAACCACCAGGCAGCACCCTGATGTTGGGCTCCCCCACCACCCAGCCCACAGCAAGTATGTTCATATTTCTGGGAAGAATACCAGCAGGTGGAAGTTTAGTATTATTTTTGCTGTTGCTGGTATAGTGAATGTAGAGAGCATGATAATTGATTATCTGGGACAACAGAAACGCACAGGAACTAAAATTTCAAGGATTAGGGTCTCCCCGAGGATTTCCTCCAAGTTTCAGTGAAGGGAGAGATAACCTTTGTGGTGGAAACGGAAACACAGCTTCCAGTTCCCATCTGCAGCCAGCCTCGAGAGACAACAGTATTAAGGGTGATGTGAACTTCCTCTGTTCATCGCTGTGGGACAGGAGCCTTGACGCAGTTATCTGCACTTCTATAGCAACGCTATTCAACTCCTTGCAGCTTATTTTTTTGTCCTACCAGAGACACTCAACTAATGCCTGCCTTTAGCGTGTCTGGGGGTAATGGTCTCATGTTTCATCTGTTTTAAAGGACATTTATGGAAAGTAGGTGGCAATTTTATCCCGAGTAAGCAGGCTAATATTCTGTCACTCTGCATTACTCAAGTGACTGTAGCTCTTAGAAAATAGATGTTAGGTGTTTTTGGTTAAGTGGCATTAAAGTTCTGTGGACTAAGCAGAAGGATTTCATTGCACATGCATTGTCCCATTTTAGTGGAAACTTTGCATTAACAAGTTCCATCTTAATAAATTATTTGGTTCAACCTGCATTGTGACTTATCCTATCATAAGATCTTGCCCTTAATATTAAAATGTAAGCACAGATTTCCTCTCCCAAGGCTAAAGCTGCATAAAAAGACTTACACTGGAGCTCTGAAATCCTCTGTCTGGATCAAGATAATTTTTCTCTGAGAACAAGGAGAAACAAATATCCACGCACTTTGGAGAGAAGGAAATTCTGCTGTAGATTGTTCTTCCTCTGTTGTGTTAAAAAAAGGAATCTTGACTGAATATATAGTTTGTTTCCAAACTATTGGCATCTTTCACAAATGTAGGCTGGCTGGCTTACAGACAAGTAGCACAGTTTCTGTAGCCAAAGATAGTTGTTATCATGCACTTATTAATGAGTACACATATCTCTGAACATCAAATGCTGTCCTATTTTCAGAGGTCCTTTCAGATCCTGTTTTCTGTTCTTTTTTTTTTTTTTTTTTTTTTTTTTTTTTTTTTTTTTTTTTTTTTTTTTTTTTTTTTTTTTTTTTTTTTTTTTTTAATTAATTTTTTTTCCCTTAACCTCCTGCCATTTTCTTTCAAAGCTCAGTGGTGGAAAGCAGAGAAGAAAGGGACCTAGGAAAGGAGATGTTCTCATCTGTCCAGCTTCCCCACATCAGGAGCTACTCAGTGCATGTCATTCTTGGCAGATGTTTGCCTAATCTGCTCTTAAGAGAATCCAGTGATGGGACTTTGACAGTCTCCTTAGGCAATCTGCCCTGGCGCTTTGCTATACCTGTCATTAAAAAGGGTTTCCTGATATCTAACCTGCAATTAAAGGCCATGATTTCCCTTGCAACCCATCATCAGGCTGACCTTACAGCCGAACCAGCTCCACCAAGTCAGTTGCGTTTTCCTCACTAGATCTTCCTTGCCCACGCTGCTTCTTGGGCAACGTCCTCTGCTCTGGCTGTAGTAGCTGAGGTGGTCTGTGTGCTGCTGCTTTTGTAAGTGTCCAGCCTGGTGTCCCAGGGGCTGGCAATGGGCAGGTTTCCCTCTCAGATCCCATGCAGCTGACAGGAAGGCGGCTGCCTGTCAGTAGAGGGTATTGAATTAGGAGATTCGGTAAATCCCAGGAGAGGCACTGCCACAGTGAAGTTGCAGCAGTTTTGCACTGATAAAACTAGCAGCACTAACCATGGCTCCAGGCCTCAGAACATGAGCTGAAGCCTTTTTTGTCCTGGAACAAAATGTGCTGTGAGAGCAATTGTACTACCTATTACATATATGCAATCAATCACATCTAGCAGTTTGGACATACATTTTTTGATAAGAGCATTTCTGTAATGATTTTAGCAGTTTTAAAGCATTTTAAAAAATCAGAGTGATCACAGATTTGGCTTGGGTTTTTTTGCAGTTGCTTCCTTTTAAACAATAGCATCCCATGGCAGCCAAGCCTGATGGCAAAGCTGTAGATGCCAGCCTGCTGTGAATGAGCTCGAGATGCTGGGGAACTGAGGCGGTCATGACTGAGAGTGGGTCAGTGTAGGCATAGGCATATCACAATATAACAATTGTGAGATAAACTTCAAGCCAGTTCTTTAATACGCGTAGAACAGTACTGAACATTGTAGAAGTGCTTTCTTCTACAAATTTTTTACAACTGGAAGACGGTAGGAATGAATTAATGTAAAGCAACTGAAGAATTTTCCCTGGCTGCTCAGAATAGGTGTTTTTTGCGATGGAAACTAGCTAGATAAATTAAGTGTATTTCTGCTGCCTGAGTAAATTATAGCAGTATGTAGCTAAACAGGTTTTGAGACTAGGAAATTTTAGTGACATCCAAAATAAATAAAGCAAGGTTTGGATCAGTAGGAACAGAGGCATGTTGCCATCAACAGGGTTGAATAACCTTTGTGTAAGTGGCAATTTTGGTAAGCGGGTCAAAGTCGGTGGGGTTTGTCTCTGTATTTTGACACATGCACTACAAACACCCTGATATCCATTTCATTTTACAAGGTGTGTGCATGCACCAAGATAATGCTCCAGAAGGTCACTGGCAGGGTACAATGTGCCAGCCGTCACATGCACAATGTCTAGCACGGAGCCAAGATAGAATTTCAGGGGTCTGGGAGCACCAACAGCATTTGGAGCCCTACACAACACCTGTGCCCCACCAATATCTCCCTAGCTGTCCATCAATGAGCCTCCCATTGGCATCTGTGATCCCGAGCTGACAGGTCTGTTTTTATTTGGGCAAGACGTTTTTAAGGCATTCATTCCCCAGTTGTCTTCTACGTGACCTGGAAAAGCTTCAGTGAGTTATCCATATTCCTTCATGGAGGAAAGGAAAGGACAAAGTTTGTTTTCAAAATGAGAATTTGAGGGTTTTTTTAATATAAAACACAGTCAGATTTAGACTTTGTGTTCCACACAGCATGGAGGTAGATTTATTGTGTAAGAGAGGTTTCAGTTTCAAATTAATAATTAGAAGAACACATTTAAACCTTTGTCAATATAAAAGTGATTTCAGGTGCTCAGGAATCCTCTGCCTCTTTCTTGTGGTTTTAAAGAAAAATTTTAAACATTTTCTAACTTGCAGCTATTGAGGGCAGTGAGAGAAAATATCTATAAACTGCTAGGAAACATACAGAAATAAACTGATAAAGTCTTCCACTTCCTGCTTCTTGTCAGTTGTAGGTGCTTCTTAAAACACACTTTTGGACAAATTTTGCACTGGCAAAAATGGTATTTTCTGTTGGGCAAACTGTGTTCATGCCCCATGACTGACAAGCAGAGGCCTGAGTCAAAGCCTGCTGGAGTCAAGGGGCTTTCGTTGAGGTGCAGACCCTTCATGTTTTCTTAAAAATCAACAGTGCTGTTAGCCCACGTCTCCCCTTTCCCACCCCGTCTCCTCGGGGAGAGGCAGAAGCCTGTTTGAAGACAAACAAGTCACAGAGCCTACAAGGTGTAAATATCCTTCATAAATGCCAACACTGAAAAGCCTGGGCGCCGGGTGTGTGACACACGACGACAGGCAGTTCACGCTGAGCGAGGGGCGAACAATATGCCAGCGCTGCCACAACCACCGAGGTGTGCCTGGATTGCACCTGGGCATCCCTGGACTCCCTGTTTCCCTCCCCCCTCCCCCACCCCGGGGACACGCATATGGGATAGCAGGAGGGATGGGGGAGCAGTACTACCTGCTCCTCACCCCGTTGCCTCTGCCTGCTCCCCTTGCCCCTGATCTGGTCACGCTGCCTTTGCCCTCCTCCTCTCCCCAGCTTCCTTGGGCAGGGGCTGATTTAAATAGGTTGGCAGGGAGCCAGGAGCTCATCATTTTAATGCAGTGTAAAATAGAATGTGCATAATTATATGCAAGCCATATGTGAGGGAGACAGCTCAGCTGTGAATTTAGGGAGGCTGTGAGAGGGAGAGAGCGAACAGTCAGGAATCAGATGAGATGGAGCGGAACGGAGTGCAAGTGTCACTCAAATGAACAGTGTAATGAGCGTATTGCTGACACTCCTCCTTTCACCTGCTTCTCCCTTTTGCTTTAACTCAAAAGCAGAAAACGCTCTGGATGAGAAGGGAAAAATACTATTTGCAAGCAGGATTGCTAATGGGCTCTGGTAATGTCTCCATTTGAACTTCAGCTTTCTTAATAACAGTGTAGTTCCAAATAACCAGTAACTTTTAATGCATCTTTGTCATTAAATATTTTGATCGCATGGGACTGAAGGATCATTGTTCTCTCTAAATGATTGCTCCTTTCAAAGCTTTACTTAAACATGGAGGGGGAATCAATTTATTTATAATAGTGTTACATGTAAATTATGAGTATGAAAACTTTTTTTTTGGCCTTGCTGTTAAACTAAAAATACAAGTACATTATCTAAGGATCGCTTAAGCATGTCGAAAAGTTTAAACAAGTACATATGTAATGTAATCCTGAAAAATGCAATGGAGTAAAATGAAACCCTGAATTACTCACAGTTTTCAGCTCAAATATTTCATTTTGGGTTTGTCTCTTGTTGTTTTAATTATTACACCACAATGAATTTGCATGTTCAACCTAAGCTATGTAAGAAAACAGCATCCCAGCTTCTCATATCTAAAAGGTGTACTGAGTATTTAAAGAAACTTTTTAATAATGTTGTATTTTGGGATTCCCGTATGTTTTAATTATCTGAGCTGTTATGCTTTTAGCTATTTTTTTCCTTCCATTATTTGTAAGTCCCTAAATAGGCCATTATATTTCCCTTCAGGCTAGAGATGAAGATGGACATGCTGAAAATTTTCCCCAGCAGCACTATGCTAAGGAAACTCCAAGACTTGCCTTCAAGAATAACTGCGAACTACTTGTAAGAATAACATACTTACAACAAGTCTAGATTGTTACTTTAGCACAGTGAAAACCGTTTTTTTTATAAAGGCTTTTGTTCATTATGACATACATTATGAAATATGATAGGTTCTTTTTTTTCCTGTTTAGCATTCTAATGCTAGTTCTGCTATCCGTAAACACTTTAAAATCTCAAATTGCTTGAAAAATCTCATATATTTGATGTTAGCACGTGAATGGCCTTGTCATACTACCGTGTCTTGCACTGGTAAATCAGGGAGAGCCATGCAGGGAGTGGCTGATGATGCACGAAAAGCCCCTCCTCCCCCCTGAACTGCCCCAAAACTCACTCTCCCATCCACCTTTTAGCTTTGTCTTGTTTTCGGGTGGCAGTGCTGCATTTTGTTCTGCTGGCAGGCAGTCCTCCCTTTAGCGCTCACCTATTCCACCCCTTCATAGCTGCATGCCATCCAGAGCATCCTCTCCTCTCCACTCCTCTCCTCTCTATTCCTCTCCACTCCTCTTCTCTGCTGTGGGGAAAGAGTGAAAGCTGGGAAAGCTTACATACAGGGAGCCTGGAGTATTTACAAGCCATAAGAGAGATGATATCAGCTGTGAAAGAATCTCTGTTCCAAGGCAGGGTTAATTTGCTGTTCATTTTAGCATTTGCAGCTAGGCAAGATTAAAAGCAAGCAGGAATGCCTATTATATTTCTGTTAAATGAATCTTTTGGGACCTAATGTTCTTGATTAGCTTGTGAAAATGAGTGCTCCATGATGAGTTTTTCTGTTTGCCTAAAGTAAACAGAGGATGAATTGTAATACATTTAAAAGAGATTCATGCGTGGCTTTCGAAAAGGGAGTTTCAGATAAGTAGATAGATCTCTCCCTTGCATTCACCTTTCTTCTGGTCTGTACTTAAGTAAAATCTATCATTTGGCTAAATGGAAGTGGAGAGTTGGGGCACAAGGTTAGACTTTGAAACAACACCACCTTTTTTTTTTTTTTTTTTTTTCTCATTGTAGCTACAGAAGAGGCAGGTGGCAGTGGAGGAACATGCTGTGTTTTATCTGCATTAAAGCCTGTACCTGCCTCCCCCATAGAGGATGCAGGGACAAATGCTAATCTTGGTGTCCCAGGTGCAGCTCATGTGCTGACCTAACCTGGTGCTGAAGTTGGCCCCCAGGTTCAGTCAGCTGATCAGAGAAGGCCACACCTGGGGCAGAAGCTGAGGGATGGTGGCCAATCCCTGCTCCCAGCACTGGCCAAAGGGCAAAGCATCTTGACCACACCTGCATTAGTGGGCCCACAGGCTCTCCTACCCCACAAGTGTCCCCTGTGCTGAGGCAATCCCTGGTTAGGTAAAGACAATGCTTTTTAGAGCCACAGATGTCACTCGGAAGGGTCAGTTTATCCAACCAAAAACAATGTGACCCATAAAATCTGGTCCTGATTCCTGTCAAGCCCTTTGCAAGGTTCTTGGTGATTTCAGAAGAAGCAGTGTGACATCCTAAGGGGAGAAAACTAGATAAATGCAGAAAGTGATTCCCTGATGTACTCATAATTCTTGTGCCAAATAAATGAAACTTTCGTCAAGGCCATGCTTAATTACTGCATTTGATGCTGGTCAAATCAGGCCTGATGAACCTAGAGCTGGGACACAACTTGATATAAAATAAGTAATGTATTATTTCCATTGAAAATCTGCTTTGTTTTTAGTGCAAGCAATCAATGAACCAATTAACCCACTTTATGCTATTAAAATCAAGCATTCTTTTAATGCCCAGTTGCTTATTCCTCTATTAATACACATATAACTTTTTGCTATATTATACTCTTCCTGTACCTGGCAAAAGCTCAAGTCATCAAAGTTAATCTTTCACGTGATTTTTTGGACAAGTGTCCATTATTGTTTAAGGAAGTAATAAAAGCAATTTGTTACAGTTTTATTTTTCCTGTGCTATTGGAAACGAAATTGGCAGGGGTGTAATCTGTACTCAATTTGTGTGTGAAAAAGAAATAGCAGACAATGAATATGTACCTCTACTATCCTAAAAGGTGTATTTTAGGAACTTGCAGTGAAAATGTGATGCTGAGCGCAAGTTGGGGTGGTGGGGGAACTAATGTTATTCTTTGAAGTTGCTATGTGTTTCACAGAGAGGTAGGGGTATTCCTTCTATGGTTTTACTTTTTGGGAAGCGATGCTATATTAAAATGTGCTCAACTGTAAAGCAAATTTCACCGGAACTGGCTGTGAAAACACCATCTTTCTTTTAAAGACTAGTCAGTATTCCTGGGGAGAGGAGAACAAAAAGCATACGAAAGAAAGGAGTGGGAACACCTGACTCTCTAAAAAAATACTTTGTCAATGGTGAAAACTTACCCAGAATCTAACAGCACAGGCCAGATGCTGGCTAAGTGAAAAACTGAGATTTTTTTAAATGAGAGAGAAACTGAAACTGGTTTGTGCTTTTGAGAATCAGGAAATCCTTGGAGTTTTCTGAGTGCAGTTGAGAGTAAGAAGTGTAATAGCCTGTCAGGTGAAATTGGAGGCTTTGGCTCAGAAGTGCTTTCTTTGCTTTAGGGTTCAGCTGCCATTTTCCAGTAAGGTTTGTTTCAGCAAGTGCAGGCTCTTCTATTTGGGAAATGCTCGTGCTGATAGAGTGCTGCCAGGCAGGATCCAGGGGCTGAGTTGCTGCTGCTGGGTCTGCATGCCAGGACTCTCCCGCCAGAGTCAGGCTACACTGACTGAATCTTAACATCCCAGGTCACAGGCACATAGTGCAAACTTTACCTCCTCAATACTTGGAGAGATTTTGAAGTATAGTAACACTGATTATTAAAAAAGTAACATAGAGTATTACAAAAGCAACATAGAGTATTACAAATTCTATGCTTTCTTCATTTCTTACTCCTCAGAAGAAGAAATAATTTGGGTGGCGAGGTACAACTCAGCTATTCTATTTGTTTGGGTTTTTTTCTTTTTCCAAAGAGTACAAGTTTGAGAGAAAATAAGAGGAAGAAAGGTATAATTTAGGCAGAAGAATCCCCTGAAGTACTTACAGTAGTTCTGCTCCGTAAGAAAAGCAGTGATAATTAAGTATTTTGGTTGATATAGAATGCCATTGTGCAGTTACAGGATTAGGGTAGGGTATTTATTTACCGTGGTAAATCCAGATATGTTGTGCCCTGGTATTTGTTGTAGGGCACAAAACCCAAAGTGGTTAAGAGGCTCCAATCAATGAGCACATCATATTTTCCTTTTGTACTTTTCAGTATTTTTGAGAAACATGTTTTCTTAAGCTTAGCTATCCATGATAAATATTGGGAACTACATAAAAGAAATCTATTTTTTAAGGAGCCAGGTCAGCACTCTCTTGGCCAGCCATGCATTCTTCTCCCATAGATGCTGCCTCAGGATTTGAATTTCTTTTTCCACGAGTGGCTGGAAGCTTTTCTTTCAGGCACATCTCTTTGTTTCCAGAAGGAAAAGGCAGAATTTAGTCCCCCTTGTAAGCTGATTGTCAAGGACCAATACAGTCCAGCTAATTGTGGATGTGGGGAGAAAGATGGGATTAACTGTGGAGAAAGGGGAGGCTGGAGTGAAAAGGCCAGAGAGAAGGCCACAGCCTCAGCTCTAGCCGGATGAAATTCCTGAGCCATTGCCTAGGGAAAGGAAAAATCCATTTGGCATCTACCCAGGTTAGTCAGGGTAGGAAGAGTCATGCTTGGTTGCCTTTTAACAAAAGTGGGAAAGAAAAACCTACAGTTTGTCCTTCCTCCCCCCATTTACTCAGAATATCAAGTCAAGGTTTCAGATTGGCATGCTGCTGTACGAGGTAAGGAGGGTTTGACGGGTTAAGGAAATTAAACACCAGGTTGCTTTCCAGATCATTTGTTTATGGAGATGATGTGAGTACCACCCACTGCTATGGGATTATATGTAAAGCAAACAAATAACCAAACAAAACATAAACACCCTGAAAAAAAATTCTTTTCCAGTCCCACATCCAGTGATGATCCATGGTTTTTCTGCAATCATGATATTTTCCCCTTTGAAATCAAAAAGTCTAGTAGTTCTGCTCTGAAAGTATACATTTGTGAGTGCAGTGTGTGATGAATTATGAGTTAGTCCTGGTGCTTGGAAGCTATTATGTAAAAGACAAAAAATAAAACAAGCTTGCTATTGGATTTAAAGCAAACTCACCTACATCCAGTTACCTTTAATCATTGACAAAAAGAGGCAGAAAAAGCTCTGAAAACACCTCTACAACTGAAACATGAAATGCAAAATGTTCTCCTAAGAGCAAAAGGCCTCTGGGGAGGCTATGGCAAAGCTGAGATGAGCCAAACCTACAGCTAATGCTTTTCTTGAAGTTGCATTGCTCTGTTCTGCTGTTCCAGCACATGTGGGGCATCCAGACAGGGGCAGCAAGGATACAGGGCAGGTTAACTTCAGAACTATGGTACTGGAATGTGGGAAGGATTTCATACCTGCTACACTGATACTAAAAAGCACTGAAAATATTTGTCATAAGATGAGGCAAATAGGTTTTGCAGTTGTAGTCAAGTTAAATGTAAACAGGTATCCCTTGAAGGCCATGAGAGTTTTGGTTTCAGAAAATGAGGCTTGAATTCTTTTTTGTAAGGTAACTGACCTGCTTCCTGTTCCCCACGATCAAACCCTGTTAGCGCTTCAGCAATAAAAGAAAATACCTCTCAGTTCATTTATAATCAGTGTCTTCAAAGGAGGACTGAATTAGGGAGAGATAACTTGGCTCATCCTCTCTTGCCTTTCCACCCTTTTTGTTTCCCATGTTGTCTCCTTATTCCTAGCAGAGTGGAGAGTGAAAGCAAATGCACTTCTGCTTGTGCTCTCCCTGGCTCTTCCTTTACCCTGTTAGCTGCAAAGTGGCACAGGGAGAAGGAGAGCACTTCCTTCATCCTAGCTGTGGCCTGGGGATGCGCAGAGCTTTTGGCCGCAAAGTGGAGTGGGAGTATTGCCCAACAGCTCTGAGGG